AAGCTTGAGGCTGAAGCTATACCTTTTGTGGTCAGTGGCATACAATAGTGTTTAATGCCATAGATAGGATAAAATTTACTTGGAGGCTTGTAGAAAGAGGGCTGATAACTGAAATCCAGAGAACAAATTCCGTGAGGTTATATAGAAGGCATTTGCAAAGATGTCAGCGGGTTAAGGTGAAAAACAGGTACATCTGTGTGGGTGCAGATGGGCGGTAACATGGGAGTCTAGTGCTCTTTCTGGTGACTGACACACAGTATGAATAGAGGCAAATGGGGATGGGCCTGCAGTGAGTTTCTATAGATGGCAGGGAAAGGTCTGTGTATCTGTGTCCTCTGCTTCACTGTGAAAGTTGGGACCATTATTTTATTTATAGAAAGAAAAAGAGTTTAAGCCATACTTTTCTCTAGGTTTCAAATAAGGAAGAAAGTTGAAAGTATTAGTAGAATGTTACTAAAATTGATAAAACATTTAATAGCAGTGGTTCTCAGCTTGGTATACTGGAAACATCTGAGAACTTTCTGACTGCTGGATTTCAACTCTGGATTCGTGTGGATATGGCATGGCCTGAGCAGCTGGGCTTTTTAAAAGCTCCCCAGGCCATTTTAATTTGCAGCCAAGGTTGAGAACCACTGTGCTGGGGGGAGGGGGAGCAAAAGCAAACCCAAAAACCCTTATTTTCCAAACGAAATCCACTTAGTTTTTGTTTTTAAAGATTTTATTTATTTATTTGAGAGGTAGATTTAGAGACAGAGGGAGAGACAGAGAAAGGTCTTCCTTCTGTTGGTTCACTCCCCAGATGGCTGCAACGGCCAGACCTGCGCCGATCTGAAGCCAGGAACCGGGTGCCTCTTCCTGGTCTTCCCTGTGGGTACAGGGGCCCAAGCACTTGGGCCATCTTCCACTGCTTTCCCAGGCCATAGCAGAGAGCTGGATTTTAGAGGAGCAGCCGGGACTAGAACCGGCACCCATAGGGGAGGCTGGTGCTGCAGGCGGAGGATTAACCTACTGTGCCTCAGAGCTGCCCCCAGAATCCACTTATTGATCTGGTTGAGTTGCCTATCTTTTCTCAATAGTTCAATACTTAATAGTATTCTCTTATTAGACCATATGAAATTTTTTGGTTTAAAATTTTGGAGCTGATTGGTTTAAATAAAAATTTAATCTGCCATCATCCAAATGAAATGTCTACAGGTAATTGAAACCACAGCATATTATTTAACTTGCCTAAGCCTTGGTTTCTGCAGTTTTCCTGTAAAATTGGAATAATGAAAAAAATCCTTATGCCTTAGGTTGGGGTAGGACTGTAAAAGGAGGTTACAGATGTACAAAGTATTTTATGATACTGAACCAGGTATGAATCAAGCACTTGATGAGCCCTAGGCATAAAAAGAATGAGTTGAAGTGAAGAATTTGTACTTCTTCTAGGTACCCATACGTGTATTTTTGGACCTCTCCTCATTACCTTGCATACCTTTAAGCAAACCAGTGGAACTCTTAAGACTAGATTTAATGACTCCATATTTGAACACTTCCAACAGAGAAGTAAAGGTAAGGACAACAATGTACAAAATGATTATTGTCATATTCAGAATAATTACCTTAAAATGTTAATACATTATATTCATAGTTTTTGCCTTTTCTTTTGGAGATTTAAATCATTATAAAATTAAACATTTTTAAAATAATGTTTATTTTATTTGAGAGGGAGAAAAAGAGTGAGCAAGAGAGAGCTCCCATCTGCTGACTCACATCCCAAAGGCCTGCAGTGGTTGGGGCTTGGCTGGGCCAGGTCAGGCCAAGCCAAGGCCAGGAGCTGGGAACTGAATCCAGGTGTCCCATGTGGGTGGTTGGGACCCAGCTACTTGAGCCATTTGCTGCTGCCTTCCAGGGTGTGCATAAGCAGGAAGCTACATTTGAGAAGGCAGCCAGGGCTCAAACTCAGACACTCCCATATGGGATGCAGGCACCCCAGGTGGTGGCTTAACTGTGAGGCCAAATGCCCACATCCGTTTTTTGAGCAATATACAAAAGTGAATTTGAGTAAATATTGAATTGGGTGAATAAGTGTATTTTAAAATTTAAAAGAGAAAGAATACTTATTCAAGTCTATCCTGATGAAGTTTTCATAATTTCTTAATTTTCATAGGTACACATTTGTAAATCTGGACAAGTGACTGCTATTCCATTTTGGTATCATATGTACCTTGATGAAGAGATTAGGTTGGATACTTCAAGTGAAACCTCCCACTGGAAACAAGCTGCAGTTGTTTTAGATAATCCTGTCCAGGTTGAAATGGGACAAGAACTTGTACTAAGTGTTCAACACCACAAAAGCAATGTCAGCATTACAGTAAAGCAATGAAGAGCAGTTTCATAATGAAAACTGTTAAGTACAGCATCAGATACAAAATTCTTACCAGAATTAGTGTGGTTGTAATCATACTGATTGTTTAAGTTAATTCCTTGTAACAACTGTTTTTAAAAGGATATTAATAAACCATATTTCAAAGAACCTAAAGAGAAGTAGCATTTTAAAAAAGTTACTGCAGATTTAATTTTTGGAAAAGGATGCATCATTATAATGTTTCATATTAGGAAACTTTATTTTTGCTTGGTTTTACCCAATACCTTGTCATTGTCAAGTGTAAGAAAAGCAAAACTTTTAATGTTTTAGACATTTATATTTGGGAACATTTAAAAGGATCACATTGAAGACTGAGGGTTAGGTTCACCTGTAAATCCCCAGCTTGCTTTCTATAAATACCCCATGTGCTTCTGAAACATCTCAGGTTTTGAGAAGGCAAATTTGAATAAAAATCTAAGTTATAAGATAAATATCATTGAAGAGTAAAGAAGTTAGGGAAAAAATAAATTTTCAGGAGGCGTTTTTTCCTTGTCTAAGGAAAAACTAAGCTGATTAAATTAAATTAGTCCTAAACCACTAGTTTTCAAAGTTTTGCTTTGTAATAAGAAATAGGAATAAGAAAATAGTTGACTCAGTTTTTAAAATCTTTTGAAATAGGGAGATTAATAAGATCATTTTCAGGCATTGAATATGCTGTATGCTTTTTGTAAGCAGGCCACAAGGAAAACTAAGATATTCTTTGCTCTGGGCTGCCTATCCCACATTACCTCTATTACTGTTGAATTACCCAGCTTTACTACTTTTTTTTTTTTTTAATAAATTTTATTGCATATATGTGAGATACACATGATGTTACAGGATACACATAGACAGTAAAAAGCTTATTAGTGTGAAGTGAGTTCACATATCTACCATCTGGGTTACCAGTCTTGTGTTTCTGTGGCAAGAACAGCTCAAACCTCCTCATTAGCATGAATCCCAAATATAATACAATTACCTGTTGTTTTCATGTTATACATTAGATCTTCAGATTTGTTCATTTTTACATTTGCTTTGTATCTTCTAACCTACAGCAACCCATTTCCTCCCCAATGTCACTGCTCTCCCAACCACTGTTTTGTTCTCTATACAACTTTAGATTTTACAGGTAAGTGAGATCATTTTCACTGTGATCATTTTTCTTTCTGTGTCTGATTTGTTTCACTTAGCAGGTTTTCCAGGCTCATCCATATTGTGGTCAAGTCCCCTTCCTAAAGGCTGAATAATATTCCATTGTATTTATATACCAGTTCCTTATCCATTTGTCTATCAATAGAAACACTTTCTGCACCTTAGCAGTTCTGAGTAATGCTGTACGGAACATGGGAGACATCCATGTTTTACTATGAGGTGGTGACTTCATTCCTTTGCGTGCAGGCCCAGAAGAGGGATTGCTGGATCACGACATAGTCATTCACTTTTAACTTCTTCAGAACCTCCATACTGTTTTCAGTGGCTGTGTTAGTCTATGTTCCCACCAACAGTGTTCAGAAGTTGTCTTTTCTTCACACTCTTGCCAACTCTTTTGATATTGTAAATAATAGCCATCCCGATGGGTGTGAGGTATCTCATAATGATTTTGATTTGCATTTCCTTGATGACTGATGATGTTGAGCATCTTTTCGTGTACCTGCTGGCCATGTGTTTGGAGAAGTGTATCAGGTCTTCAGACAATCTTAGTAAGGTTGTTCTTCCACCATGGAGTTGTGTGAATTTTTTATAAATCTTAATTTCTTATCAGATAATATGGTTTACAAATATTTTTTACCTGTTGGTAGGCTGCCATTTCATTTAGCTGATCATTTCCTTTTGCTGTGCAGATCTTTATAGTTTGATGTATAGATGTCTCTTGGTATCTGTAGCCCGTTCCCGAGGATACCAGAATCCAGTGATGTTCAAGTCCGTCATACAATGGCACAGTGTTTACGTACAACCTAAATACATCCTCCTACATAATTTAAATCACCTCTAGAGTACTTACATCTAATACAATGTAAATGCCATGTAATAGTTGTTATAGTTTAGGGTGTACTGCCAAGAGGAAAAGCATACATTCATGTATATACGAGTTTTTCTTTAGAATATTTTCCATCTGTGGTTGGTTGAATCCACAGGTGCAAAGTGTAGATACAGAAGGCCTACTCTAGTCTGATTTATTGTTTTGCTTTTATTGCCTAAGCTTTAGGTGTGATATCCAAAAAAAAAAATCTTTGCTAAGGTCAACATTCAAGAGCTTTCCTCCTATGTTCTCTTCTAATTTTGTTGTTTCTGGTCTTACATTTATTCCTTTATTCATTTGGTTAACTTTTTTGTGTATGGTCATAAGGTCCAATTTAATTCTTTGGTATGTGTAAATCCAGTTTTCCTAGCACTATTTATTGAGACTGTCTTTTCCCTGGTATATCCTCTTGGTGCCCCTGTCAAAAATTATTTGACCATTTAGGTTTGGATTTATTTGTGGATTACTCTGTTCCACTGGTCCATTTTAGACAGTACCATTAAAATTTTATAATTTTATATCAGTAAATGTGATACCTCCAATTTTTTCCTTAGGGTTGTTTTAGCTATTTAGGGTCTTCTATGTTTCTGTATAAATTTTTTTTTTTTTTTTTTTGACAGGCAGAGTAGACAGTGAGAGAGACAGACAGAGAAAGGTCTTCCTTTGCTGTTGGTTCACCCTCCAATGGCCGCCGCGGCCGGCGCACCACGCTGATCCGATGGCAGGAGCCAGGTACTTCTCCTGGTCTCCCATGGGGTGCAGGGCCCAAGTACTTGGGCCATCCTCTACTGCACTCCTGGGCCACAGCAGAGAACTGGCCTGGAAGAGGGGCAACCGGGACAGAATCCGGCACCCCGACTGGGACTAGAACCCGGTGTGCCAGCGCCGCAAGGCGGAGGATTAGCCTAGTGAGCCGCGGCACCGGTCCTGTATAAATTTTAGAAGTGTGTTTTCTGTGAATAATGTTATTGGGATTGTGCTAGGGATTACATTGTTTATATTGATTTGGGTCATATGGACATTTTAACAATATTAATTCTTCCAATCTGTGAACACAATATCTTTCCATCTATTTGTGTCTTCAATCTCTTTCATCAGTGTTTTATGGTTTTCAGTGTACACATCTTTTATCTCCTAGGTTAAATTTATTACTCTATTTTTTATATGGGATTTCCTTTAAATTTCTCTTTTAGTTATTTCTATATAACAATGTTACTGATTTTCCTGTTGATTTTGTATCCTGTAACTTTATTGAATTGATTTATTCTAATGAATTCAGTTATTCAAGCAGTTTGTGAAATATTTGGGGTTTTTCTACATGTTGCTTAGTTTTACTTTCAAAAGAAGTATTTGGTAATATGAACAGAATACTATTAACTACTACGAACTAATATATTTAACATCATATAAAGGCATGTTGAATATGCCATATATAAATGTAGTGCATAAAACACATAAAGCAAAGGTTTTGAGTAACTATACTCCTTCTTTCCATATGCAACACTGTAATGGTACTTTTTATACTTTCTTAATATTACAAAATGTTAAACATGACCCAGTTGGTTTTGATTTAACTAGAGAAACCTCACCCTTAAATAGTAACTTTCTCCCAAATAAGACCTACTTTGGTCTGAGTGTGGCTTAATGAATAATTCAGACCACTCAGTAGTTGACAGCTTTAATAGCTCTGAACAAAAGCAGTAATTTAATATTTTCGCTGTGCCTTAATCAAGAAGTTTTTGTTAAAGCATTAAGGGTTTATATTTAAAGAATGAGAGACATAGAAAGTTGCGGGAAAAATGATAAATTATTATTTATTGAAAGACATCCAGTTGAGGAGTAGAGAAATAACTGTTAGGTAAGCTTTTATGGCACATGATTAAATTCCACTAATTCATTTTTCTGGATTATGCCTTCTGTTAATTCCAAAGCATTATATTCATGCAGCATGGTAGGAAGCGTTGTTTTAGAATAAATGTCCATCCTCTTGCTAAAGTAATGCGACATCAAGAGCATTTAGTTGGAAGTCATCTTCTACCATTCGAGTATGTGGTATTCTGATGTTCTTAAGTCTAAGTCTAGGAAATTTAGACAGTTTGCAATATATAAAACTCATTTATATAAATCCAATAGTTGTACTTGGTTTTCACCTATCTTTGTGTTGAAATTTTCCATAATTTATGGCTTGTCCCAAGCACAACATCCTGAGCTATGGGAGATACTGGGTAATGGAATATCATGGTTTTAGCACAGTTTTTTCATACTGCTCAGGAGTCCATAGATTTAGCTGAAGGTTCTTTTTTCTCCTCCGTAGCATCCCCAAGTACTTCATCAGATAGCTTGGCTGTAGTAGGAGTAGTCTGGGGAGTCACAGTGTGTCCAAATCCTTGGTAGTGTCCCACTGGTGAAGGTGGCATAGAAGATGCAACAGACATTGCATCTTGTGATGATGACGATAACAAGCTTGTATGTTCATTTTGATCTTGATCCTCAGGAAAAAATTTTTTCCTAGGATGTCCTCTGACTGTTCGTCCTTCAAAGTAATATAGAGGTTTCTGTGTTAGCCAGTTATTTTGACCATTGTAAACTTACCATTCTAAAAAACGCTCCCTATTTCCTCTAACTCCCACCTCTGCCTCTTCCAAATTTGAAGAGCCAATACTATGCCACAGCTTTACTCAGTTTTCTGTTTCGTAAATAATACTTAATTGCCCCTGGCAAAAATATTAATAAGCCACATAACTGGATGAATTAAATGGCTGGTACTTACCAACATGTCTTACTTGTTCAGAAATATCATCTCTAATATCTGAAACATCCCACATGGCAAGAAAGGAATCAAAACAGGAGCCCTCTTCCGCTTCTTGGACATATGGTTTATATGAGAAAGTGTAGTGATGAGCAATAGCAGCAAGGAACATTTCAATACAGATAATAAAGTCCTGTAACAACAACAAAAATATCAGCCATCTTTGGGTTTAAATCTATTTTTTTACAGTGTTTTCTCCAAGTACTTTTCAAAGGCACTTAATATATCAACAGTTTTTTTTTTTTTCCAGATTACATTCAAAATAATTTGGTTTGGACCTTTTCAATAAAGGACAAGATGCCAAAATTTAAATCCATTCTGCACTACTACTGATTCTGTTATTGACTGAATAATCAAATATTTCACAGACCCAAGGGCTAGGAGGAGAAATGGCAGAAATAGATCAGAAGAACAGAATCCAGGTTTTATTCCTGGTTCTACTAAAATTCCATAATTATGGCCAATTGGTTCCCTGCTTCCTCATTTGTAAAGTAAAGATAATAGTAGCTCCCTTGCCTGCAGGTTTTATCAGGCTTTATGGAGATATTATGTGAAAATGCTTAACCAGTAGTAAAGTTGAGTTAGAGACAGCACTACTTACCTGGAGTCCTGTAGCCACAGCTTCTACAGTTTGCCATTCCCATGTATGCTTTTCAGAAATAACGCCAACTTTTACCAACAAAGCAATAACTACTGCTTGCCTATATGTTAGGAAAAGGTAAACGCCAAATCTATATCAAGCATAAAATGAGCAGTTGTTTTAAAAGTATGTCATTTAAAAGAGTTAGTCCCCAGTACAACCTGTAGCCTGCTACCACCCTTTACAGCATACTTCAGAAGAAACTGTGTATTTATTTGCTTTACCAACTTCTTAATGTAGTAGTTTTACCAAGTTCATTTTATGTTCCCAGAACTGCAGTATCTTTTTTTGTTTTTAAATTGTACATAAGTGATGGAATTTTAAGTTCTTCCTATACATAGGCAAGGCCTAACATACAATATGTGCTTAAAGTGAAATAGTAGTTACATAAGTGCTGTTTATACATGTATCAACTACACAGAATATCTCTTAAAAGAGTAATTTTGAAACTAGTTCTTGTCAGAAGTCTAGGCGCTACACACAAACGAAAGGGAGTCACACTGAGCAGATGGCCCCAAGTGAATTTCTACATCAGTAATAAGACAGATATACTTTCATGGTTCTAGCTACAAAAATACTCACTTCAGTTTTAATTATAATGGTTAAAAAATCAGGAACAATCTAAAAAGTTGTATACACACAGCAGAATACTAAAAAATCCCAAACAGCAAAATCTTCTCTTAACTGACAAAAAACTCATACCTGCAATACAGTGACCATACTGTGGAGTTCCACACATTTTCACAGTAAGACCATTCCTGTGGAATTTCATACACGACAAACATGCACCACAATGTTAACCATTCTTTTTGGGTGCTGGTTTGTCAGGGAATTTTCTTTGCCCTATTTCATATCATTTCTATCTTGTTACTTATTGTGTTCACTTCTCAGACTCCCTAGCACCCATGCTTTTCCTAAAATGAAGACATGTACAATTCTGTCTTCTGTTTTAAAAACGTTTACGGATGAACATTGCCCCACATTAATAAATATTCTACATCATGTTTTCTTCCAGACTGAAGAGCATTCTGTTAAATGACAGGGCCATGATTTATCTTCTCTAGTATTGAGATATTTAGGTTACCTCAAATTATTTTCTTCTTATAAATGTTATAGTGACCATCTGATTCTTTATGAAAATCCTAATAGTACTAAAGGGATGAACTTTTAAAGTTAGGTGTAGACATTTTAGCCAGGTTCTGACTTGAGAATCTTCAAGATCCTCCTTAACTAAGTTTCATTGTTCTTTAGAAAATGAGAACATTTATGAGAAAAGCAACACTTACCAGAAAGAAACAAAAACCACCAGCTTTACACAAAGAAATTTGCCAACAGGTTGGATTGGACTCAGTTCTTCCTTTAGTACTTTATAAAATAGCAGGAGACAATACATGGCAAACTAGAAGCAAAATTAACATTTAAACTTCAATAAGAATAGATATGGTAATGAACATATTAAGGTTATAATCCAGAGACCTAATACAGATTCATGTTTTAGGCAATATTTTCTAGTTTTAATTGTGCTATTTTTAGATTAACAACCCTACACAGTTAACTCGAGATGGATATATATACCATCTGACATTTCTCAAAGATGTAAAACATCCTGAAAACATTTTGAAGTGTTCGCTTACTGGGGCCCATAAAGAGAATGATAAACACAGTTGACAGGGATGGAAGAAAAGGTTCTTACTCCCCCAAAATGAAAAAACATAAAAACAAAAACCCTATCTGTAACTGCTTTTAAAGACAACTGACTTTTGTAAGGGGTTAGTTTATTACCTAATTTTTCTTATATATAACATTGCTTATTTATAAGGAAGCACATTAGTAAGTTAACACATAAAATAGTTTCACACATTAATAAGTAACACGTAACTACATTTTAAAAAAATTAGGATCCCTGAAAGGTAAAAGTAAAGAATTGGTCAACAGTTTTTCTCAAGGGCAGTAATGTTAGTCCACCTGAATTCACTTTTTAAAATAAATGCTCAAGGGCTGGCATTGTGGCATAGGTTAAGCCTCAGCCTAGAATGCCAACATCCTAATATGGGTGCTGGTTTGAGACTTGGCTGCTTCACTTCCGATCCAGCTTCCAGATGATGCACTTGGGAAAGCAGTGGAAGATGGCCCAAGTGCTTGGGCCCCTGGACCCACGTGGAGACCCAAAGAAGCTCCTGGCTCCTGAGTTCAGCCTGGCCTAGTCCTGGCTGTTGTGGCCATTTGGGGAGTGAACCAGCACATGGAAATCTGTCTCTCACATTCTAACTTTGCATTTCAAATAAATAAAATAAATCTTTAAAAAAAAAAAAAAACCGGCAGAAGATGGGGCAAGTGCTTGGGCCCTTGCACCCATGAGGGGGACCCAGATGAGGCTCCTGGCTTCCACCTGGCCAGTCCCAGCTGTTGTGGCCATTTGAGGAATAAACCAGTGGATAGAAAAAAATCTCTCTCCCTTCTGTAACACTTTCAAGTAAATAAAAACTAAGTCTTTAAAATAAAATAGATGCTGATGACTTCTAGAAATCAGTTGTAATAATCTGTAGTGTTCAATAGCAATAAACATTTTCCTAAAAATTCACTTTTCACCATTAAAAACCATAAAATGCTTATTTGAAATGTTTCAGAATATGAAAGCAGTAATTTACAGTCCTGTCTTGCACCCATTACTTAATCACATATCGATTTCTTGAACTAAATATAAATTTCATTGCCTAATATTGTTTCTTTAAAGTACCATACTTTCCATTATGTTTCCTAAAGATTTTTTTGAATATTCAGAATTGTAATTGATTTATCACAAAAGCACTGAAATGATGTCAATATAATTTTTAAGGAAAATATAAATTCTAAAAACAGCAGTATAGAAAATAGCATTAAAATGTTTACATACATTTTAACACTTCCACATTGTTTTAGCAAACCCGGCTTTTAAATTTTGAACTGTATTAACCTCTAGGCAATTAAGAGTGCAGATGAAATAATTCTACATAGCAGGCTTTTCTGTAACATCCTACTGCCAGATGGCAATTAAACAGCCATCTGAAGCTTTGGCTTTTTAAAGTAAAAATGCAAGAATCATCTGAGAAAAACATAAGCATATTTAGGTGTATAGTACTAAATAATACCTTCATGTTCTCTGGACCACCAGCCTGAATATATTTACAGCCTTAGTTCTGTTACCATACATTTTATGAAGACTTTGCCAGATGTCTCAGAACAGTAAAGGTATATTTTAAGGAAGCAAAAAATTAACAGATGAAACCAAATAAATCCTGTCATCCACCTTGGTTACATTCTGTTAATGACCTCAGTTATCAGTAAGAAGTTCCCTAAAGGTATGCATTTGAGTTTCAAAAAGACAAAAACATAAATGGAAACGGGCTATCTCACTCGTTCCTTACTATCTTCTTACAAATTAGAAAACCAAACTCGTTCCTTACTATCTTCTTACAAATTAGAAAACCAAACACTTTTCATATACTTAATCTGAGTTGCTACAGTTAAATGCCTATTAAGTGAGAATTCTGTATGGAGAATTCAGGAATTACCTTTGAAAACTGGACATGGGAATTACCTGCCTGGGCAAATGAGGATTATTTTTAATAACTGCTAATATTTCAGCCAATGAAAAGGCAACAGTACTTTTAAGCAGTCCCTCACTGGGGCAGGGAATATTTCTAGCCTTCTGCTATTGCAATTAATAGGTTTTATAGACAAAGATCAACATTTCTTCAGAATACATAACATTTTTAAAGCATTCCAGTTTCTAGAACAAGATATATTTTAAACTTGACATTTTCAGTTTTCCTTCCGTTCTAAATACATGGTATCGGAATTTTATTCTCCCATTTTTCTTCAAACTTTACACTGTCATATACCAATTAGATATTTTCTCTTACCAAATATGCCCAATATATGTATTTTGTGTAAGTGTATATTTTTATTTTTTTAGACAGCATTTTTGTTTTTATAATTTACCCACACAGCTATGCAATGAATTACAGAAATGTTTCAAACAAGAGATTAAGATCAAGAGATTAAGATACAAGTCACCAAATAATTAACAAATATGTTAGATCTTTACATATGTATGAAGATATGAAAAGTTTAAGTTCTTCCTATGAATTATATTTCAAGATTAAAAAGAAGCAGTTAAGCTTTATCCATGATAAAACTGCTTTAGGGAATTTGGAGCTATAGACACTTAACAGTACAATTAAGGAAAATGAATGTTTACTTACCAATTGAGACATATTGTTTATTATAACCAAGTAAGTCCAAGCATTTGAAAAGCTAAAGTTCCCTTCATCATATATACCAACCAGCTCACAGATTCTGCAAAGTGGTAAAAATGAGACAATTTTGTGATTAATGAAATCAAAGTGTATTTCAAAATGCAGTGATAGTAATACCTACATTTACAAGTCAGCTTGGTAGAATGATCCTATAGATAACTGCTTATTTTGGCTGTGGAGGCAGTTCAAAAACTTAAAGAAAAATGTTTTCCATGGAATGTTGCCACATACTCTTCCAACTTGAAGGAAATCCAAAACAATGCACTTATATTTAATAGCAACGAGTAATTACTAAATTCAGAAGAACTATGCTGCCTAGTTGTTAAAAGCTGGATTGTTGGACACACAGTACAGACCTAAAACAGAGGGAGTTGTAGTTCCCCTCTCAGTCGTCTTGGACAGAATTACATGAAGACCCAGATCCTCTCAAGCATATTTTATGATCAGTATTAAGTTCTATGCTCATCCAGTTTCTAACTCATAGAAATATATAGCAAAGTAAATTAGACTTAACTGGATTAGAAACTGCTACTCAGTGGCAGACTGAAGAAGTTAATTCTCACCTGCTTTCTCTCCAGGTTTTCCTCTGTGAGCATGCAGAATGTTAGGAAGTACTAGCAGACAAAACATGTAATCTGTCTGCTTTAAATTATTTGATGTTCTCCTATTTTTAGCAAGTATTTTTGCCAGGTGGCTTAATGAATAAACCATTTTATCCTCAAGTTTCAAGCCTTGACGGAATGTTTTTACAGAAAAATACATCCTCTTTCTTGTAGTTTTCCTACTATATTCTAAACTATGTAAAAAAAAATCCATGTTATTAACCTAAAGTAATGCACATGAACTCCATATAATAGTTTCTGTAAAGCTGTGTGAATATATTCTTTAAAAAGAAAGTGATTTTTCCAAGTGCTTTACAGCAAGCTATAAAGGATGTAGCATGTGGCAATTCTCTGCCTGTGAATGGCCTTATTTATTTTAATAGAGTAGGTTTTCTATGTAACCGATTCTCACAGCACACTAGACCTACATGAAGAACAAGTAAACTAATGCTGTCTGTTTTGCTACTCAGCTGCTGCCATATAAGGAAGAGCTGGAGGATTTTTAAACAGTCAAAATAAAATCTGTGTGCTTACAAAGCAACGATGGTGGTGAATGGTCTGACAACTGTATACTGCAGCACTCCCAGTTTGCACCTAAACAGCAATACTCTGGAAAAGAAAAAGAACTTTAGCAATTCAGCTACTCATTTAAACAGCTTCTGATTTCCCCCAAACTCTCCAAATTAAAATCACTTTGACAAATGATACCACAATTACATTCAGTTATTTCAATTTAGCAATCTTGTATGGCAGTGAGGGAAGGATGTGGGTGGGTAGCAGCAAACAAATGAGCTAAACATTGTTGAAATTATCTGACAACCATATCCTCTGAAAGATCCCCCTTTTTGGGTACAGTCTCAAATTCCTGCATAGTGCAGCACAGAACAAAAGGAAATAGGTCCAGTGTGTTTCTGCAAGAAAGATCAATTGCATGCATGTGCATGCGTGCCAGAGAGTGAGAGGGAGAGAGAAAGAATGCATTTTTAGAAATTATTATTTACGTTTAGGATTTGGTTTCCTTCCAGATTTGGTATTTAAATATTATAGAGAGTATTCATTCCTCTCTGGATACTCTGAAAGGAAAAAACAAAGATCCTGCATAAAACATATTTTATTCTATCACTGGGCTTACTCAACATAAGGGAAAATTCACAAGGCATACCAAACAAGCAGAAACCAAAAGTCCCCCAAACAATTCGGCTCAAGAAGCACGTGAGAGTCCTCTTAAACTTTAGACCAAGTTGCTCTGAGGACAGATGCTTTTTGAGCACTTCTATCATCAGAACTGGTTATGTGTTGTTGTGTATTATGAATTTCAAACAGAATTATATGTAGACTGAAAGGACTGAGAGCCTGTTACACAGACCCTGAGGGGTTGCTAGAGGTTCTCTGAGCTGGGAGCCTTCTCGGTGCCGAGGCAGCCCGTTCCCACTTAGAGCTGAGTGTGCCTCGGCTTCCCGCAGGCTCTCCTGAGGCAAAGGTCCTGCCTACACAAGCTACGGTTCACGTCCCGTACCCTTCACACAGCTAAATCCAGTCAGAGCTGGCTTAAACTTCCAGGGTTCTACGAATTAATGTCAATCAAAAACAGAGACTGTTAAGGGTGCCTATGCTGAAGGTATGTGTACAGTGAAGTGAAAGATGTATCTGAATACCCAAATACACAAATGGGAAAGAAAGCTTAGGAGTTATAAGAAGCGGAATAGAACAGAAAGTCTAACACATATTCAGAGTTCCAGAAACAATAGAGGGGAGGCAAAATTTGAAGAGAGAATGAGAAAGTTTCAGAACTGAGGACAGACACAGAACCCACACATTAAGGAACATTGTTAAGTCAAACAGGACTCAAAATGAAAACCAAAAATGACCCAGACACTTCTAGTAAAACTGTAGACAAAGCAAGGATCTTCAGTGTGATTGGAGATAAGGCATTTATAATGAATTGACAATCAGATGGACTAAAGCCAGAAATAGATAAAGTCTTCAAAGAGATTAGAGAAAATACCATTCAACACAGAAATGTATAATCAGCAAAACTAACTTTAAAGAAGGGCCGGTGCTGTGGCGTAGCAGGTAAAGCCACCGCCTGCAGTGCCAGCATCCTATATAGGAGACAGTTTGAGTCCTGGCTGCTCCACTTCTGATCCAGCTGTCTGCTATGGCCTGGGAAAGCAGCAGCAGATGGCTCAAGTCCTTGAGCCCCTGCACCTGAGTGGGAGACCCAGCGGAAGCTCCTGATCAGGACAGCTCTGGCCATTGCAGCCAATTGGAGAGTGAACCAGCAGATGGAAGACCCTCTGCCTCTGCCTCTGCCTCTGCCTCTGCCTCTGCCTCTGCCTCTGCCTCTGCCTCTGCCTCTGCCTCTGCCTCTGCCTCTGCCTCTGCCTCTGCCTCTACCTCTCCTTCTCTCTCTGTGTAACTCTTTCAAATAAATAAACCTTTAAAAAAAAATGAGGGCAAAATAAATATATCTGACAATGTCATTTAAGGCAGCAAAGAATTTGTAAGGGAACAAAGTTTAAGAACAAAATGATCATAACTGAAAGATCTGAGACGCAAGAAGTGAGGAATAATTGTTAAACTTGACAACTTAAAAACTATCCAAAAATGTTACCTAAATTTTAGATTTTTAAGTACCTGCAATAAAATCTAAAAATTTAAACAGTCATGGTAAAAAGAGTAGGAGTAGAAAATATAACTTCCAGAACAGTAATGAGAAAAAGAAATAGAGCAAGAAAAACAACAATGAAAGAATGTTATTAACCGTCGGTGGCTCTGTAGCAGCAGCTGTGATCGGATACAAGAGGTATTCAAAACATTCAGGGAAAATGTGTCTTATGAAAAACTTCATGGATTTCAAAACTGTTTTTTGCATCAAAATGCACATTTTTTAATTCAAATTTTCCACCAACTTTGTGAAGTACCCTTGTCTGGCTGCAGTGAAATGTGTATCTTCCTTCATAGTTAAAAGTCACATTAAGATTACAAGTAGTCAAACATTATAAATAGATGCGATTTTGCCCCTAGGTGAGCTTTGTAAAGTTTTGGTTTTCAAGTTTTTTACATTTTAGATTAACATTTAACTGTAGGTGCTATAAAACTGATTTGTTACATTATTTGTAATCCTCTAATGCTTGAAAAACTTTAAAATTATATATAAAAATTCTGTTAAACAGAGGAGCCTTCTCAAACTTCTTATACCTTCTCAAAGTATTAAAGAATAATTTTAAAAAGAGGCTAAACACAAAGTAGATTTCCGGACTGGACACTGACAGATAAAAGATAATAGTAGAAATCTGAATTGCATGTGCAGTTAACAGTATTGTATGACTGTTATTCTGACAAACCTGATGGTTAACTTTAGGTGCCAGTTCAACTAAGGGACACCTAGGGAGCTGGTAAGGCACTGTTTCAGGGTGTATCCAAGCATGTTTTCAGTGCGAGTTGTGTGTGAGAGGGAAAGATCTGTCTGTTTATGTGGGCAGGCACTGCTGAATTGGCTGGGGCCCAAGCAAAACAGAAAGGCAGAGGAAGGCTGAATTCTCTCTAAATAAGAAAGAAGAAAGGTTGTAAATTAATGAAACAAGAATCCAACAGGAAAAGAGTTCAGCAGAGCAAAATAAGGGGCAGAAAGGAAGTAAAACAGAACAGATAGTAATGAAATTGAAAATATACTACAGAGAACACCAACAAAGCCCAAAGCCAGTTCCTGCCCAGAGTAGTAAAGATGGGCAAACTTCTGGCAAAGATTTATCCTGGAAACCAAGCGATGCGTACAGTTCATGTTAGCGATGGAAGGAGAGTCGTAACACACAATCCAGAGAGACTGAAAATATGATCTAATGGATGTCCATAAATTTTAAAACTTTGCCAACTCTACCTAATTCCCTAGAACTTTAATGGTTTAAAAATGATTTCAGAAACTGTAAGAATCCTAAATAACTCTATCATTGTCCTGGCTGCTTCGCTTCTCATCCAGGTCCCTGCAAGTGTGCATGTGAAAGCCGCAGAAGATGGCCCAAGTCCTTGCACCGATGTGGGAGACCCAGATGAAGCTCTTGGCTCCTGCCTTCAGTCTGGCCCAGCCCTGGCCATTTGGGGGAGTGAACCAGGGGATGGAAGATCTCTGCCATTCCGCCCTTCAAGAAAATAAAATAATAGAAAAATGATGCCAGTTAAGAAAACCATACCTCATTTTAGAGTGCCTACTTTTGATATCGCCTCCAGCTCCTGACTCCAGCTTCCTGTTAATTCTGACACTGAGAGGCAGGGGTGATGGCTCAAGAAAATAGGTCCCTGCCACCCATGTGGGAGACCTGGGGATTGAGTTATTATATCCTGGCTCCTGCACTCGCTCAGCCTCAGTCATCACAGGCATTTGGGAGTAAACCAGCAGAGGAGAGAGATAGCTTTATCTCCTTTTCACTGTCTCTGTGCCTCTCAACAACAGAAAGCCATTAATCTACTTTGCCACAATAATAGGCTAAAGAAAAACCATGATCATCTTGACACAGAAAAAGCATTCAATGCATTTAATGAAATTTAACTCTTATTCATGATTAAAAACTAGCACAACAGGGAACTTAATTAACCTGATAAAGGAGTCCTAAAAACACCTTTAGAAACATGTAATTCAATTGTGAAATTTTATAGGAATGCCCTTGAAAATTCCAGAATGAGAAGAATGAAGATATGCACTTAGAGTGAGAAGAAAAAGAAATGTAAAAGGAATGTGTGGTATGAAGACTAGAGAGGAAATAGACTCTCCATTTTCAGTTGACTATATAAAGCAAAAGATCTATAGACTATGTAAATTTAGTAATATTTTTAGATATAATATTTATATGCAAAAAATCATTAGACTTTCCACACATGGGCAGAGGCTAATTTCTAAAATAGATTCCATTTAGAGTAGCAATAACAAGTCAATAAAAGATGTGTGAGACCTTCATGAGAAAACTATGTTGAAAGATACAAATAAAGAATAAGTAGAAAGACCATTTTAATGGCTAAGACCCCCCAATCATGAAGATATCAATATGCTAAAGAGTGAATTTGCTTGGAATAAAAAAAAAATCCCAGTTAGTTTTTTAAGCAATTGCACAAGTTGACTAAACATTTGTGTTTAAGAGCACAGACGCAAGAACAGCCAAGGTAACAGAGCTGGGGCACCTGCCCTTCATGTTAAGCTTTAGTAATAAACTATATAGCTAATGTTTGGAATCAGTCTAAGGATAAAAAGGTACCCAATAAAACAAGAAAAAAAAGGACCACCACAAACATCTAAATGTGCTTTTTGTTAGCATGACAAAATACCTGAGACAAGCTATCATGAAGAAAAGTTTATTTAGCTCATGGTTTTTGGAAGCCAAAAGTCCCGATGGCATAGTGTAGGTACTGTGGTGAGGGCCACTCTTTGGCTGCATCACTGCGTGGCCCAGATAGCAAGGGTGAGGACATGTGCAGGAGCAGGCAGATCACATCTTGAACCAGGAACAGAGAGAGCTGGATGGGGCCAGGTTTGTTCCTTTATAACAGCTCTCTCAAGAGAACTCACAGGATGCACAAGTACCTTGGCGGCAGGCCTCCAAGGATCTAAGGACCCCCTG